AGCTTCGAGAATCGAATTATGTTACCTATAAAGAAATTCGCAAAACAAACACAACTGTCAACGACGTCTGCCCTCACGCATCTGCTCGCGTTCTCGGCGATGGCGCTTCATTGCTTAGACCGCCCCTCTACCCCCGCACATCGCCCCTGTCGTCTTACAGTAGACGCGATGTGACTTTCCCAAAAGAAAGTGGTTATGTTCCCTAAAATGGAACTTTTTGACATACATGCTCCACAAGAAAGATAATTTGACAGTTCTAGAACAAATCATAAACGTTGTTGTACCCGCACTTTGATTTTTCCGGCAATAATTGTGCTATAGCAGCAGCTGCTGCACTGGAAATTTCGTGAGGCACATTTTGTAGCTCACTGTCGCTGCTGCTTTTCACATAGTTTATTGCGATAATTGCGAACCAAAACCATGCAAAGATGCAAAAATCAAAGTGTCAACAAGTAGCTGTCAGTCATTATTTTGGCTGCTATGGTAATCTGTTTAAAAAAATCTGTTTAAAATCTGTTTTTTCCTTAACCAGCTGTCGCACCCCTACGAACGACAACCCTCAGAAGTCGAAACTTGTGCGAGCTAAGGATTAACGAGGTCTTACTTTTTAACGTGTGATTCCTAACACGGGTTGGACGATAGCGAATGAATTTTTTTCTTCATTTTCAGTATTTCACTATTAATGTAAGTTACAAAAAGGATTTGAAGCTCTATGACTTCTATTCGATTATCTGCGAGCGTTTTCGATAGCTGGTCGTGCTGTCATCCTCTAGGCACTATTCTATCTGACTATCTGTCTATCTATCTGACAGATAGAATAGTGCCTAGAGGATGACAGCACGACCAGCTGTCGAAAGCCGTCACTTGATGATTATAAGTAATTCTATACACACTGTTAAGTTGAACTAAAGACGCGTGCCGACTGAGGAAGGTACTGTGTAGCGAAACACGTCTTTCATGAAGATAATACTTTGAAAAGTGTTATTATTATGGAACAAGGTCAATGGTCATCAAAATTCAATTGTGTATATGTATTCAGATGAAAAATAGGTATTAGGTGCACAATAAGTACAAAAATAGATTTTTTGAAAAATTGCAATGAAAAATTTCACTTGACAAAACGCGCTCTTTATCAGTAAGTTGTATTTTATAATTTTGCATGTGAAAAATTAACTTAGAATTCTACAGAACTGGAAATATCAACTATAATTTGATATTTATAAATGGAATATGGATTCATAGAGAAACTCTCATTTCCTTCAAGAAAAGAGACTTTTGTTCAATAATAGATTTTTGTGACCTCATCTACTCATTCAAAAATAGTTTTCGGGAGTGTTATGCCCGATAATAAAAACAAATATTCATTTTAATGTACACTTATTTCTATTGAACTTTGTAGTATCATCCGAACAACGATTTATACCAGAGGGACAATTATATAAAAAATATTCAAACCTAAATACGAGATCTGTTAAGAAAGTAAGGTGAATTTTGATTTTTCTCAAAAAATATTTATTCATTCATCAATTTCTATTTTGTCAGACACTTAGAACAATTGACGATGAATTTCAGGCATTCCATATAAAACAATGACAATAAACAGGAAACAGTCGCAGGGGGTCAAATCTGAGGAATGAGGTGGGTGATGCATGATTACGGTGACTTTTTTTGTCAAAAAAGGTACGAGCAAGCAATGAATGAGCAGGTGCATTATAGTGATGAAAATGACACAATACCGGACGTTTTCTTCGTATTGCCACTCGCAATCGTCGTATAACTGCAAAATAATACTCCTTATTGGGAGAACAGTGAGCAAAACTTTGATATTTAATCGAACTCGACGTGCTTTTTTGATCTTGGCTCTCCTGGTAACTTCCTTTGGGACGATTGGACATTGGTATATACCCATGATTCGTCACCTTTCAAGCAAATCTCCATCGATATTGATGTCAGTCAACAATTGTTGAGCTGAGTTCATGGGATGGTTTTTTTGGTCAAAATTCAGCAATTTTAAAATGAACTTCGCTGCTATCATTTCATGCCTGAAATTTTCGTCAACATCCATCGGATTTTGATGTGCTAGGGCGTTCAGGGCAAGCGTCGTCATTCATATCTTCTCGACCTTCTGTGAAAAGCACGTACCACTTCTTCTTCTGACCCAGAATACAATCACCGTATGCCCCTGTCAACAGTTTCAAGTGTTTTTGAGCACTCAACTACTTTTTAACACAAAAGTTTATGCAAATTCTTTGACTAATTTATTTCGATAGCAGAAAATCGCAAAACACGCAAAACACTTCTGAATTCCATGCTTCTCACCAACAAACTAAACATGATAAACAGCGGAAACTGTGAACATAAGTCTGAAACGAGTATACCAACATGAAAAATAAAAAATCGCAAATCGAACTTACCTAGCCCGCGAAATTTAAACATTAACCTTATTTTTTGAACATACCTCGTACACACATGTTGTCTGCTGATTCTAAAAAAAGCAGTAAATAAATCTTGTAGTATCATATGAGGATATTCTAACTGTCATTCAAAAGTGGTAAAAAAGAAAAACAACAATTATTCGAAAACCCATACAAACCTTGAATTTATTCAATATTCATGCTGACTGGTGATAAAGAAAATGAAATTATTATGCTGCGGTTAATTTGGTGATTTCCCACATTTCCACAAGGAAAAACTTATTCGTGACGCATCTTCAACGGTGATTGATCGGTAATGTATGCAAGGCGTATCTGTCAGGAAAAATAAAACGCGATATTTCAAAAAACCGGTATGATTGTTTGTTAGTGCGACGAGTTTTGAACCACAAATCATTGTGAAACCTTCGATCCCCTAAATTGGGGTCCGCTCCTCCATTTCCATTTTGTTTCAAACGGAAATAGAGGTTGAGCGATACCTTATACAGTGTCACCATTAAAGTGCGCACCATATGGGAAACTTTTTTTTCGAAAAGTTTCAATGAAGTTTAACTTCGGCACTTGTTTGTGCTTTAAATTTAACTCAAAATGATGCGGCCAACTGCGACCCACTGACGTTCAGTGTTTGTCAAATACAACTTA